AAAAACCCAGATAGGACACAAAAGAAATAATATAGGAATAATAGTTTCCTAGGCATGAATAAACCTAGAGGGAAAACATAACAAGCGGCTGAATAAACCTCTCGCTTATACCGCGTCGAAAAAACATATCAAAAAAGTATTCAAAAAAAATTTTAACAAAATTTTATTATCGAAAAAAAAGAAAAAGATTTAAAATGAATAGTTAGGATTAGTATGTAAACTAAATGGAAAAACGCCGAAAAAGTGACATTTAAAGAGATTTTTATGAGTTTTCCCTTTAACCAGAGAATGGATGATTAATTAACGCAAGACGTTGACTGAGGTGTCAGTAAGTATCATTTGTTTACGCCAAAAAGAAAAAAAAAGAAAAAAAGAAGAAAAAAAAGAAAAAGTCTGACAATATAAAGGAAAAAAACCCGATTTTTTCTTACTAATCTTTCAAGGCAAATAGCTTAAATTGAAATCGACTTTTACATCATTGGCTACGGCGTCTTGGTATGAGTTCAGATTTGAAGGCCTCTCCAGCACATCCGAATCTATCAGCTGTGTATGAGGCAGCAAGATATTTTGTGTACTTCACAGTTTATAAACACACTTAACATTTTACGATAGACTCTTGACATACAAGAGCTTACTTTTCTCGACAAATACGATTAAGCGACAAAGTTGTGATCGATTTATAGATTGTGGATTTGTTATGTTTACGATGAAGTGAAGATCAAAACGAGTAGGAAAAGAAAAACAACTTGATTAGATTAAAGGCGAAATCTGAAGTGTCTTTAATCTGATGAAGTTTTTCCAGTCTTTATTTCGCTTAGTTCACATTATATAGCTACGAATTCATCTTTAACTATTAATGCAAAATATTTCCATTGGACTATACTTATTTATGCTGAATTCATTGTTGAAGTATTAAGGGCAAAACGCTTTACAGCTATATTTTCACTGTAAAAGGTTACAGTGGCGAACAGCGATAGATAATAAGTTATGGCCGATATAAAGCGATATATATGGTCATTCCAAGATCCAAGAATAGATGGAATGACTAGTGTTTTTTATTATTATTCTTGTCAATACTGAACACCGAGGGTATTGTTACATTTGTAGTCGACGAAGAAACCTTTTAAAACACCGTTTACAAGTACGCTCACGCCGCAGTTCCTTTCGGATGTGTGTAATCGTCCATCATCGATCGTTATTCGCCGCTCGCCCATGCAGACCTTTTTGAAATAGCTGTATAACATATTTGGCGTATTTTTATTGACTTATGTTTCTGTTTTCTTTTCATTTTTCTAGAGAAAAATAGAGTTTGCAGAGGCAGATTTTTAAGGCCAATCATAAATGAAGAACTGCTTCCTCAAAGCAGCCCAAGAAAACTGATCGCCCACTTTATGACGTCATCCAACTAAAAATAAAGAATCCTAAATCCCCCAATCAATCCATAACATCTTGTACTGTTGCTATTAATCATGCTAGGACAAGTCATCAGGAAACTTCCCCTGACGTAGAGAAGAGAAAACGTTTTAACATTTGATAGAAGTCAATCGCTAGGTGCTTGAGATGTTTCCTGGTAGCCGGCTAACTGTCAAAACCAAATCGTTAACGTTCTGTCTTCTTGTCTCGTAATTCAGTTTGTTTGATGTCGTCACTAAAGTCTGTGACACTAAAAATAACTGGTAATTGTAAAAATATCCTTTTTCTTGGGAAATGTTTAAGAATAACTAATGAATTTGTTTTACTGTCGCTGAGGGATAACATTCCTCGATTAAAATTCTTGTCGGCAATAATGATAGATTTGTTAAATAAAGTTATTTGGCTAATTTGTGTCTGTGTGATTTTTCTCCTGATATTTTATTGCATATGATCTCTTTAATAAAGTATGTGTGTTTGGAATCAGCAATTATTTTTCTTTGGACCAATGCACCCACAACCGTAACGGGATTTAAAATAATCCAGAATAATCCAGGATAATAATCATTTAGTATTTTTTGTAATCTCTATGTTACGAACATTTTCTATCGAGTTACGACTTCGTGCAGCCCTTGTTTTTTTCAAAGTGGGAAATAATAGCCAAACACTGCTTCCTTGAAACAGCTGTAAGTCTTAAATGGCAGACTGACGTGAATATGAATTTCGTCAGTTTTCTTTAGCTGATTTCTCTGCAGATTTCACTGCTCGTTGATGGTGTTTTTGTGCGCACATTGGCCGTGTATTCGCACATCCATCTGTGTTAGTACGTCACTATGATTACTGATCAGTACTGTGATAGGGCCCTGGATAGAAACAAGAGGGGGTTGAGCAATTATTTGTTTAGCGGGAACTGGGAAACGGCTCCTTTGGTTAAGGAATATATAATACGCGCGYATGTCTCTTTACTGTGATATAAACACGTTGGGATCCGTAGAGCACGATAGAAACAAGCTTAGGAACACGAGGCGTAGCTCTTGCTGTTGATCTTATTCCTGAATACAATAATCATCAGACATCCGCAGAAGCTGAGACGTGGTTTATACTTCAGCTGACCTGATGGCAATTAAACTAGTCCGCCCACTTTCGTACCCAGAGTCTGCGTTTCTTCTGGCCTGCAGCGAAGAACAAGGGCTCTGGCATAATCCATTTTTCGAGACCAGGATTCCTTGAACTTCCGGTATAAGAGCACATGCGTTCAAAGATTTGCCAAAAAAAATAAAAATAAAATAAAAATTAACACTTATTTTCTGGGACTGAGGGAAACAGTATGTTTTGTGGTCCCAAGACCACTGATGTTTAACGAGGCGGGGTCGAGGGAAACATCAGCAGTTTCAGGGCCACAAAACATACTACTTTCCCGAGGCCCCAGTAAATAAGTGCTTTATTATCATACCAAGTGTCAAAGAGAACAAAACAAACTAGTAATTTGGATATTTCCACCTCTCCGCGGCAAGAAAATCGGGAAGACTCCATTTCTCAATTGCTATATAACAAAACACTTAACTGTGACCACACAACTTATTTTTGTACTGAGTTAGCCAATCAGACAGCGAGAATCTGTGCATTTGCATGTGAAATCACTCAGCGTGACCGCAAATATCTGAAATTATTTCAACAAAAAGTTTAATAAATGGTTAAGGAATTTACGTCGGCTATACCAATTTTGGTCCCTTTGCAGCTGGCTAATACTGGATACTTTCGTAAAAAGTCTTTTAATTGAAACAATTAAACACTTTGCAGGAAAGGATTTACGGCATTGGTACAAAAAATAAGGTGGTCACGGTTAGGCGCGTGGCAAAGTAATGACTGTTCCTCGGGTTCAGGCTACGGTACCATGGTTCATGCTACGGTACCATGGTTCATGCTACGGTACCATGGTTCATGCTACGGTACCATGGTTCATGTTACGGTACATGGTTCATGCTACGGTACCATGGTTCATGCTACGGTACCATGGTTCATGCTACGGTACCATGGTTCATGCTACGGTACCATGGTTCATGCTACGGTACCATGGTTCATGCTATAGTACCAGTATGGTACAATTCCATGTATGCTATTTTCCCACGGGTCACGTGACTGATGACGTCATCATGGTGGACCCCTTGAGGGAGTTTGGTTAGGCTAGAGTTGAATATATGTTCAGGTTTGGTTAATATCGGTTCAATTCCTGTGCATCTACAAGATATTTTCTCTCAGGTCACGTGACCGATGACGTCATCACTTTTGACCAATTGATTGTTTTTGGTTAGGCGAGTGTACTATAGTGCTCAGGTTTGGCTGACATCGGTTCAATCCCTGTACATCCACAGGGCCAAAATTCAGATTTATGACGGCATAATTGCAACGTAAGGGTGGTGTAAAGAATTAATTTACGCTCCTTTAAGCCTTATTTACGGGTCGTAAATGTTACTTTTACGCCATCTTTACGGCTATACTTAAACACGGCTTAATGAAACACGCTACGCCATTAGGTAACCACGCCGTAAAGGTAACGTAAATATGCGTAAAGTTGAGTTACACGTCTTCTTTAGTTTAACGTAAAAGTAACGTAAATATGCGTAAAGTTGAGTTACACGTCTTCTTTAGTTTAACGTAAAGGTAACGTAAATATTCGTAAAGTGGAGTTACACGTCTTCTTTAGTTTAACGTAAAGGTGGCGTGAATATGCGTTAAGTGCAGTTTAGACCGGTCTTCAGTCGACGTAAAGGTATCGTAAATACACGGAAATCCCGAGTTTACTCATTTTCAATCCACCTAAAAGTGTCGTAAATAGACGAAAAATTAAACCCGAGTTTACTCCGTTTTCAATTCAAACCTGGAAGCTGTCGTATATACGTCTTTGGCCAACGCCTAGACATCGTAAGTGCACGTAAAGGCCGAGTTTACACGTCTCTATTAAACGGAAATATGGTTTATAAAACCGTAAATTTGGACATTTATTTTCTTAAAACAATAATAATATAATAGTAGCAAAGTCCGATAGTAGATTTTGATATTCAATGATTAACATCAACTTACTTTAATACAACAACAGGATATATCTGAAATCTTTATTCTTCATTAAAAATCCAAACCATTTGAATCTTTGAAAATTCATTTTAAAATATATTCTTGAATGTATAGTATTTACAAATGAAAAATAAGAGTAAGTGGCCAACTAAAGGTAGAGGATAAATCTGAAGTAATATTTTCAAACAATGATTATCACAAGGAAACTAGCCAGTGATACTTATTGTCCTTACTGAAAACATTTTGCAGATGAATAGTTTCATAATTTTTAAATGTAGTATTTACAGATTTTAAGGTAGTAAATAAATTTGAACTGGAACAATAACATTATCATTTTCTAATGCAGTGATTGCAATAAACCTTTAAACCTAGCCTATGCCGAATAAGAATTAGCTAAAGAAAAAAAAATCATTAYAATTAAGTTATGAATATCACATGCACTAAAATTAGTAAGTCTCCCAATTCTAAGCATGTTCATATAAATAACTACTTATTGATAGGCTTATAGTAAGGTTCATTGCAATCACTCTACAGCAATTCAAAAATGCAAAATTTTAAACAGATTTTGAAAGACGGTTTCTTGGTGTGGAACTATGCAGTGGAGTGTCATTGGTAGAGTTTGACTGATCATCAGCAAGTCTACGAACTGCCCAGTTGATGACAATGTTCGGATATTCCCTGCTAGAGAGTTCATTATGATTTCTTCTTGAAAGAAAAGAACCTCTCACACGAGGGTTTAAACCTCTTAAATGCAGGCCATCTAGTTCCTGTTTCATTTTCCTCAAAGCTGATCTTTCCCAAGGTAATTTCTTTACCAAGTAGCCTTTCAGCTTGAGGTCACCATTTTCATCTTCYGAAAGATCACTTTCATCAGAGCTTGTGTAACCTAAAATTAAAGCTTTCTTTATGGTCTCCTTTCTATCCTCAGAACACTTTGTAGAGCTAAGCGTTTCAATTCTTCTTCGTAGTTTCTAAAAAGAAAACAGATTTTGAATTAGATAGATAGACAGACAAACTTTATTTCATGATTGTAATCCCTTAAGCTGAAATTCCCCTTCAGATAAATAAGCACAGCAGGGTTCCAAGCACAAATTTGCAGTTTTTGTAGTCAGAATTATCCATTTAGTTAGAAACTTACATCTCGCATTCGTCCTTGTCTCCTGCACAATGTTCTGTGCTTGTCAACTTCACCTTTATTTTTTCTGGTATTTTTATCTCTTCTTGATTTAAAATAAGATGATGCAGCTCCTACAATCAAAATGATAAAATTTCAATGTTGGTTTAGTATATGAATCATATATTATCCTTTTCATATATAATAAGTTCACAATAATTACTTAACCAACAAATGATTCCCTTTCATTTTGAACTTTGCTTCCTCCTAACTTATTTTCATATTACATTTTATTATACTTGCATGTATTTAACAAGTTTTTTTTTTTAATTTAAACATATTTTGTCATTACATTAACCCCAAGAGCGTAACGCTCATTGAGGGGGTCAATGTATAAGTAAGTTACTTCACGCACAGATGATTTAATATGTTGTTAGACATTTCGCTAGTTAAGGCTTTCTCAATAACTTGAAAATCATTTGACAGTAGTCTACATTTACAGCACTATATATGCATAGTTGAGTTACCATGAATGAAGAGTCATTTTTAAGTCACTTTTTCTCTCGTTATAACTCAATTAACATACATAGTTCCATAAATCTAGACTACTGTTAAATTACTCTCAAGTTATTGAGAAAGTCTATAGTCTGGTGAAACGTTGAACGACATAATTGAGACTTCAGAGATATAAACTTGTTGTATTTAGATGATCCTACTATACCTCTTAATTCTGCAAGTGACCAAGACAGCGCTGGCTCTGTGTACCAAAACATGGCTGTGGATGCTCTATACTCCACATTACATTGTGCCTTTAAACTCTTCCATCATTCACGTTAGCACACACCAAACTACATTGTCTTGTAGCCAGAGCTCCAAAGTCGTTGCTTGTTTTGATTTGGGGGCTGCAGCTAATGTACCGGCTGAGAAATTAAGGATTTTCTTGGGGGAGTCCTTGCTAATTCAGCAAAAGGCTCTTATAAAGCAAATGTATGTGAACGGAAAAGGAACTTTGCCAATTGCTTTGGCAACGTCATTTCGTTTGGAAAACCGAATTTTCTTGACCGCGCTGGGGGGAGGGGCCGGGAGAGGTGAAAACTACTAGATAGACGTATTTCAGCTGGAAATTTGCTGTTGAACATTATAAAAAAACGAAAAAAACATGATGGATACATCATGATCAGTAGTCATTAGTCTTTCAACTCATTGTTTTTTGTCACTCGTTGTTCGGAGGTATGGTCCTACTCAATCAAGAAAGAAAAAGACARAAACAATGTCATCAAACATCGGACGTCAGGATACAATGCATAAAATATCTAAATTATAATAGATAAATTATTGTACATGATAAATATAATAAATTCTAAATAGAATACAAAATAGTCTAAAAAGTTAAACGATATTCTATGTCCAAAAGAGGGTTGTCCAATACTGTCGTACGAGAAATAACACTTTACTGGCTTCCTGGTCAGAGGAAAAAGCTGCTGTTTTTGATAGTTGACGGGCTGTTTTCTGTCCTGTTGTTGCGAATTTGTCGAGGAAAAACAACACTAAATACCTTTTAGTAAACCAAGAAGAAGATAGCTTTTGCCGTAAGGGTATTTGAAGCCAGAAAAATCAGAGAAAGACGTATAAATATCAAAACGAACGAGCTAGTGGTTTCTACTTCTCGCCAAAAGATAGAGGTTTCAAGCTAAAAGCTGTGCCGTCCTTGAAGACTTTATCTAAAAATGTGTCTTGAGGCCTATGGTTTTAGAAAACCTGGAGATAGACTGGCAAAGAAACGAAAAAGCAGAAGGTATTTTTTTTTCTTGCAATCTTCTTCCAGAGGATTCAACAGTTTGGCTTCAGCTTTCAAAAGTTGTAGACTTGATGTTTTTTCTTTTCTTTTTTGATATGATTCAAACACTTTATATTACGATAGTCTTCACGTTCAAAGGTCTAGTTTCATTCTGTCTTACTAAGTCTTTTACTATATTGAAATTAAAATGTGGTGTTTTGTTTGCATATATTAAACGGATAACACCATAGAAAGTGCTTTGTACAGGATTATATCCACTCGATTTTCAAGCGTGTTTTATTACGATCTATTGACTTTTGATAACGGCAATAAGCCTGAAGCGAGATGACGTTTTACCTCCGACTCTATACCATAATAGTTTTTAAAATTCTTTCATATTAAAATTTTTGATTCCTTAGAGAATACAGGAACAATAGTCATARTTAAAGAACAAAAGCAGTGTGAAAAGGATTATGGTCTAGAGACGGGGGTAAAACGTCATCTCGCTTCAGGCTTATTCATATAGGATTTGATTATGTTTTTCACTTGATTTTCGAGCGTGGCTTATTACGATCCATTGACTTTTGATAAAGGCAATTTATATAGGGTTTGATGGTGATTTTGACTTGAGATTACTAATCGTACGAACGGATAATTAGATGCACGGTTGGTACCATCCGTACGGATGGTACGGATGGTGAGAGACCCCAGGTATGGCATCATTGAAACTATCACAGGGTGACCATAGCCATTTTACATAGACGGGGACAAAAACACTTCACATACATACATTGCATACATACATACATTTTATTACAATTTTTAGATAACATAAATTACATGCATAAATCTTGACCTGCATTTAGCTATTCTAGTCTAGGCGGGCTAGATTAAACTATTTAAAAAAATTTGTTATTTACATTATATTCTCATTATTGATTTGTTAGATTTTTTTTTTTTGTTAGAATTATTAGATATTTACAATAAATAATTAGATATTTACATTTCAAACTTTCATTTTACTTTAACAGATTTTATTTTATCTGAAATAGAGAATGCATCAAGATATGAATTCTCTTGGTGAAGAAGCATTAAAAGTACTTCATGTAATTTCTTTTTGAATTTCTTTTTTGTTAATTCCCTGAGAGTACAAAGTATCTCATTCCACACCGTAGCACCAAAATGTGAAAAGGAATTCTTTAAAACATTTGTTCTTGAGTGTTTAATGTAAAAGTTCTTGGATGTAGAAGAACGTGTTCTGTAGGAATGAATATCTGAGACGTCACTGAATAAAATTTGAGTGTTTAAAGGAGCAGCTTTGTTTTTTACATCATGCATGAGATTGGCCACAGATTCAAAGTATACATAACGCAGAGGTAACACAAAGGTAACCGTGAAAGGTTAAGTGCACACACCTAATGATATGCATGTTTTATGCATATCAATGACTTTCACGAACCGTACGGATCGTGAGCCACATGACTGCAGTGTCCAAAACGTAAGATGTATACAGTTAATTGCTGCGAGCCAGTAGGCGAGAAGCGACACTAATCTTGACGATTGGGATCCCTGTGTGCTTTTGTGGATGCTATGAAAAATCTCGATTTTCTGTCACTGCCTCACGATGATTCGTCCCACAGCCCCGCTGTCGTTCCTCCGAGTAAACCTGGAAACAAAACTGCGATAATCCGTCCTGCTAAATATGTTAAGCGGTAATCGCCTTAAAATCGTGCGTTCCTTCGCTGACTATAGGTTGAATGATCTTTGATTGTAGTTTAATCATGACACATTCAAACTTATATATTGCTGGAAGCATTCATCAAGGTCACATAAACTACGTGGTGGTTTCACGAGGAAGAACGTGTTCTTTTATGAGATTTTCAGCGCTGTTATACGCATAGAGTTGTCAATCGATTGCTGGAACACCGCCTCCGTAGATCAGATCCTTGCCGAGGGAGATGCCATGTTCTTGAGTGCCCTTGAAAGACAAATCATCCCAGATACCGAGACGTTGTCACTGACTTTTCTATCTGATAGAGATCGCTGGTCTTCGCACCATGATGCAAACAAACCAAGCCAATCGCTCATTGAGGCAACTACTATATCAAACCGATCGCCCATAATTGATTGTACTTACACTTATAGTTATTGTTCTTAGTTGTTATTAATATTGTTTTAAGCTAGTCAATTTACATGACGCTTTTGTTGTCCTCTTGCTTATGCCTTTACACATATTTCCGTGTCTCCTTCAAACGTTGATAAATACACTTCAATAAAAAATGTTTTAATATTGTATTTCCATCTCGGTATCAGGTCACCGTTGTCTCGTAACTACTCGCAGCATTTTACTTGCAATTTGAAAAGACTAGTTATTTAAATTAAATAAATAAAATAATACACGATAGATACCAGTTAAGAGAACGCGCATTACGTCATCAATCACAAAATCGGTCAATTAACTTGCGCGCGCTTTGGATGAAGTTGTTTAGTTAGAGAAAAAGCAAAAGTTAGCGATAAAAGATTGCGCTAGCAAAAAATTGTCAAACATTGTACGATTCGATAGCATATATCATTTTTTCTTATAGCTTTAACTTACTCAAATGGCTTGAAGGTATATTTCTTAACCAGTTATGTGAAGATTAATCAATCAATGCAAATTTTCCAACTACGTGTAACAATTGCAAAAAGAAAACTTAGCACACACAACGAACTCGAGGACATTCTCAATTATCCCGGTTGTGTCGAAAGTGTTTGAAAGAATAGTTTACGAAAGTATATTTTTATTTCATGTTTATAAAGATATCAATTTTTTTATATAAATCAAACATTATAAATTATATTTATTGTAAAATCCTGATGAGTCTACCGTGTTTAAATAAAGTTATTCATCCTTTCTTTCAAACTTCCATTAATAGTGGTAGTGATTTAAAATCAACCACAAGACAAAAAGACGATACAAATATAAAACAAAAACCTGTGTCTTTAAGCAGAGCAATTGAATCCTTCAATTTTCGACAAAAAATCATACCTAAATGTGTTGCTCGACTCATGTGACCATGTGTCATCTATAGATTGATAGGTTTTTGGTTAAAAAGAATGAGAAGAATATAGGAAGAAGAAGAGGAAGAAAATGAAGAGAATGCGCATACAATCTTTCACATTTTTGATATAAGTTTTGAAAAAAATAAAAGAATAATTCATTACCAGGTTACCAGGAAGATTTTTTGTCGTATATGGAATAATCAATTCATTGCCAAAAATGCAACATATCAAATGAACGGTAATTTCTCTATTATGTATTCAGAGTGCTCAAACGGCCGTTGTAAAGCTTGAGCGGGTCATGTTACATACTGCATTCTCATTGGTCGAACGTGCCAAAACTCGATTCAAATTCCCCTTTCCTGAGAGACTCGGGTTAGTTATGAATACATGTCATAATAGAGAAATTATCGTTCCTTTGATATGTTACATTTTAATTGCGGTTCGAGTGGGGGGAGAGAGAGTTTTTTTTTTTTTTTTTTTTTTT